GCTGGGCCCGTGAGCCGTGGCCGCTGAGCCTGCGCGTCCGGAGCCTGTGCTCCGCGGCGGGAGAGGCCGCAGCAGTGAGAGGCCCGCGTACCGCCAAAAAAAAAAAAAAAAAAAAAGAATATTAGGAAATCTTTTAAATACTTTGATAGTCACTGGCCTACACCATATCTGTGAATCTCCTCCTTGTCCCGTCTTTCTACACCTGTGATCATGTGTGTGAGCTCATTCCCTGGGGGAAGGGGGCCGGTTCTGTTATATGTAGAGATGGGCCCACGTATAGCAATAGCAAGTCTTCCAAATTTCTTAATCTGGGGGATAACAACGTTGGAAAACTCTACACCCACCTAAACAGACAGGGAAACAAAAAACCAAAACCTTTAAATAATCTAAACCCTAGAAGATTCAGGAGAATCATTAACTCACAATGATCATTTCACAATACTTGTTTTAGCAGCAATAACACTGATTAAATTAGCACCACAGGGCAGAAAATTGCAGTTGGAAAGAGACATTAGAAACTAGGCATTTTCATTTGACTGTAGAAATATACCTTATATAACTTGTAAATTTTACTTCCTTATAATTTGGGGTTTTCTGACCAGTTCAGTAATCTCATTGCCTTATCTAAAAGTATGGAAAAATAACTCAGAAGCCATATCAAGAACAAAGTTGCAGGACTCACATTTTCTGATCTCAAAACTTACTATGAAGCTACGTCAATCATGACAGTGTGAGAACGGAAATATAGATGAATAGTACTAAACTGAGAGTCCAAAATAAGCCCTTACATTTATAGTCAACTGATTTTTGACAAGAGTGCCAAAACAATTCCACAGGGGAAAAAACAGTCTTTTTAACAAATGGTGCAGAACATCTGACATCCACATGGAAAAGAATGAAATAGGACTCCTCCCTTACACGATACACAAAAATTAACTTAAAACGTGTCATAGACCTAAATGTAAGAGCTAAAACGATAAAACTCTTAGGAAAAAAGCATAGGAGTAAACCTTTGTGACCTTGGATAAGGCAAAGGCTTCTTAGACATGACACCAAAAGCCTAAGCAACAAAAGAAAAAATAAATTGGACTTCAGCAAAAATTTAAAACTTTTGTGTTTCAAAGGACACCATCAAGAAAGTGGAAGAAAAAAAAAGGAAAGTGAAAGCAACTCGCAGAATAAGAGAAAATATTTGCAAACCCTATACAGGAGATATTATTACTAATGATCCTCATTGTAAGTATATTCCGTAATTGAGAACTGGACTACTTGCTAAAATTTATTTATAACCCCAATACTCATAGAGCTTTCCCTGGTCATTTGCAGACATACACAGAGTGGCTAGTGGCAAAAGAGACACAAAGTTCCCAACTGAGGTCAAAAAAGGCCAAGGGTCTGCCTTCTATTTTCAGCTCTCATACCAAGATTACCAGAGGATGAAGACAGTAGGGGGCAGTGCAGAGCGGCTCAAGAAGCTCCAGCTCTGGGGCCAGCTGAATGGAGTATGAATCCCAACTGTGGGAGGATTAGTCCTGGGGCAGCCTCAGACAAGTTACTGAACACTTTTAAACAAAATTTTCTCTTTTAAAATAAAAGAAGTTATAGGAAGGACTAAAGATTGTAATCTATGTAAGATATGTGCATGTGTGTGCACACTTCCAGTAGGAGCAATGGTTCAGTGTTTGTGGTGACTTTATAGAACATAAAGTTCTATAGGAACTTACAGACCAGGAATACTGAGAATTGACTGTATCTGATAAGGGACTTGGGTCCAGAATACAGAAAGAACTTTGACAACTCAACAAATAACCCAACTGAAAATGGTCGAAGAATATGAGCAAACATTTCTCCAAAGAAGACATACAAATGGCCAATAAGCACATGAAAAGATGCTCAACATCACTAGCCATTGGAGAAATGCAAATCAAAACCACAACAAAATATCACTTCAAACTCACTAGGATAGCCACAATCAAAATGACAGATAATAAATGCTGCTGAAGATTTGGGGAAATTGGAGCCCTTTAACAGATTGCTGGTGACAATGTAAAATAGTGCAGCCATTTTGCAAAACAGTATGGCAGTTCCTCAAAATATTAAACGTGGAGTTACCATATGACCCAACAATTCTGACTGTAGTCAAGAGAAATGAACACATATATCCACACAAAAACTTGTACATGAATGGTCATAGCAGCATTATACATAATAGCCGAGAAGTGTGAATGACTCAATTGCCCATCAACCAACGGATGGATGAATAAAATGTGATATATCCATACAATGGAATATTATTTGGCCATAAAAAGAAATGAGGGACTTCCCTGGTGGTGCAGTGGTTCAGAATCCGCCTGCCAATGCAGGGGACACGGGTTCGATCCCTGGTTCAGGAAGATCCCACATGCCGTGGAGCAAATAAGCCCATGTGCCACAACTACTGAGCCTGTGCATCTAGAGCCTGTGCCACCGCAATGAGAAGCCCATGCACCACAACGAAGAGTAGACCCTGCTCGCCACAACTAGAGAAAGCCCGCACGCAGCAACAAAGACCCAAAGCAGCCAAAAACAAATAAATAAATTTATTTAAAAAAAAAGAAAATGAAGTAACATTGTAAATCAACTATATTTCAATAAAATTTTTTTAAAAAAGGAATGAAAAAATGATACGTGCTACAATATGGATGGACCTTGAAAACATGCTAAGTGTAAGAAGCCAGTCACAAAATATCACTTTTGGGGGGACAAAGGGGAGTGACTGCTAATGAACACAAGCATTTCTTTTCAGGGTGATGAAAATGTTCTCAAATTGTGGCAAGGGTTGTACAATTCTGTGAATACACTAAAAATTACGGAGTTTTATGCTTTAAACAGGTAAATTATACCTCAATAAAGCTGTTTTTTAAAAAAGCATATGTGCTTTCCTCATATATTTTTAGATGGAAACTCTAGAAGTAGATTCCCTCATATAGTACTTTGTTGCTTTGCTAGTAAATCAGATATTAAGTCCAATTTGTACTTACATTATCAAAATCACAATCATAACCCTCAGGAGAGGCTTTTTGCAAAGTTTCTTCCAGAGACTTTACTGTTTTGTAGTTAAAGGCAACATCAAATCCATACTTTTCAAGGCAGGCAACCCTTTTGTCAGACCCTGCTGCTCCAACAACTTTGCAGCCCTAAATGGGGAGAAAAATGGAAACCATTTATAAACCACAAGCATGGGCCAAGTCTATCCTCCTCGTCTAGAATGGCCAGGTTCCTCCAGAACACCCTGCTAGGTGCTGAGCCACATATATAATGGGCCAACAGACCCCCTAGGCGAAATTCGTCCCTAAACTAGGCTATGATACAACCCAACCATCACTTCAGCTTGCCTCTGACCACCCCACCGATCCCTCCTATGTTTAGGTGGTTTGCAGCTCATTTCAACCTGCTGGCTTGACTCTCCTGTTTCTTTATACTGGGGCTTCTCCCTTGCAATGACTTGCATGCTATCTCTTGGTGCAGTGACTCTTTAGACTATAATTTTGGCTCTGCCCTGGGACTCTCATATCAAAGACAGCCCTCCTGGTAACTGCCCCATGTTCTGTGATTTGGCCCAAAGCATTGGACTAGGTGCTACCTAATCATAGAGGAACTGGAGTGCATTCTGAGAAGCACTTTCAGGTTGAGACTAGAGATTATATAGGTACATAGAGAGTAGATCTTCAGAAAGCTCTCTTCTATTCTGAATGTATCGTGAAGACCAGAATATCAGCCTCTGTTTACTTTCAATTGGGGAAAGGCCTTTGGGTTCATACATGTATCTGTACAAACAACAGCCATATACTTTTTCCATTCCTTCATGATTCAAGAAAAAACAATTTTGCAAAATCTCTTATCCTTGGTCCTTTTGCCTTCTAACCTTATACTCTCATAAGATGATCTCATTTACTCTTAAGACCTCACTACCACCTTCATGCAGATGATTCCCTTGTTTATTAACTCCAGCCATGCCTCTCTCCTGAGTTCCAAATCAGTATTTCCAACGACCTATAACAATCTTCACTTGGAGAGCCTAAGGGGCCTCATAATCAATGTGTCTAAAATGGAATCTTTTTTTTTTCCTTGCTTCTTACCTGTTGTTCCTCCTCTATTCTCTACTGTAGTGGGTGATACCATGCAGTTATCCAAACCTGAAACATGTGGGTCAAAGGAGATGCTTTCCTTTCTCTTGTTAGCCACATCCAATCACCAGGTGTTTGTCCTTTTTCAACAAATATCCTTAAAAGCTGCCTCTGACGTCCCATCTTCACTGTCAGGGTATCACAATTTTCATCTGAATTATTGTAAGAGCATCCTAAACTGACTTCTTGTTTCTAGTATTGTGTCCCTATGAACTATTCACCTCCCAGGGTCAAAAAGATTTCTCTAGGGCTTCCCTGGTGGCGCAGTGGTTGAGAGTCCGCCTGCCGATGCAGGGGACGCGGGTTCGTGCCCCGGTCCGGGAAGATCCCACATGCCACGGAGTGGCTGGGCCCGTGAGCCATGGCTGCTGAGCCTGCACGTCCAGAGCCTGTACCCTGCAACGGGAGAGGCCACAACAGGGAGAGGCCCGCGTACCACAAAAAAAAAAAAAAAAAAAAAGATTTCTCTAAAATGCAGAATTAATCATGTCATTCTTCTAAGGATTAAGCACAAACTTCTTAGCATGGCAGTCTCTAATGGAGTTTCTAAAAGAATAGGTTTAAGAATGAGTCCTATCAGGACTTCCCTGGTGGTCCAGTGGTTAAGACTCTGCGCTTCCATGGCAGGGGGCACGGGTTTGACCCCTGGTTGGGGAACTAAGATCCCACATGCTGCATGGCACAGCCAGAAAAAAGAAAAAGATAAGAAAAGAGAGAGAGACGGCTCTTCCCTAATTAAAAAATACGTCCTATCAAATTTTTGAAATAAAAATCCCTTGAAGTTTTAATAAAACATTTAAAATTTGAATTTTGGAAGTATTACTAACTCATTTTGTAAGTCTAGCATAACCCAAAGCTAAACACTGATAAGTTCCAAACAAAAAAACTTTAAACCAAACTCACCTATGAATATAGATGCAAAAATTCTATATAAAATGTTATTAAATCAAATCCAAAAGTATAAATTCATAATACACCATTGGTAAATAACGATTATTTCAGAATGCTATTATGCTTTAACATTAGAAAACTAATGTAATTCCTTAACTGCAAAATTTGCAACCTGTATGACAGCCTCATCTCTTTATTTGTATTCCAAGCTCCCATTAGCACTGGAGACCAGCCCAAACCCTTGGCTGCTGGTTGTAGTCCTGTACTCATCTGTATTCTTCCTAACTCTTCCCCCAGAAACTAGATCCTGAATCCAACATCCAGCCTCTGGCAAAGGATAAGCCAAACCAGATCACCTTGGAACATTTCCACTATGTGATACATCCTGACCATGTGTGAGCTGCCTGATGTCTTGTACCCCTACCATCAAATCAGATCTCTTGAGCACAGACACCTGTCCAGATCAGAGGCAATGTTTCCATGCCCTGCATGCCTCCCATGAGTTAGGTCCCAAGCTGAGGCCCCACCGCTCTGGGCTGACTGCAGTAGCCTTTGCAATGGGGCCGTGTGGGTGATGACTCTTGGTTGGCTGATCTCAAGTCCCTCTTTTAATTGTTGGGGGCAATCATGAAGAAAGGAGGAAATGTTCGGTAAAAACTATGAAAATAGTTACTGCTTACAAATTCACTACTCTAGCAGAGGCCATTCCTGACTTGAGACCTGCAGTGGTATCAAATTACAATGTTCAGGTCATCTTTGCTGTGCCATTTTCCCCATTCCCCCCGTTTCTCAATCATTCCTAATCTCCAGCTTCTCAACGAAATCGACTAGTAGACCGAAGTCCCTGAGACGACAAAAGGTCTGCTGTGTTCACCTCTGCATTCCCAGGGCACACTGTGGGCTCTGAGTAAATGTTTGTTAGGGAGGAAGACACTTACCTTGAGCTTAGCGATCTGCCCCACAACGGAGCCCACTGCTCCTGCGGCCACGTTAACCAGCACCGTTTCTCCACCCGGCATACCACAGATGTCAAGCAGGTCAGAGTAGGCTGTTAGGCTAAGGGAAGAAAAGTAAGGCTATGGGGATAAATTTGTTTCTTTCCCCTATATCTCATTTATATATACCCTGAAGGCCTTCTCAGCAGCTCAGTGCCATGGGTCCAGGTAAAAGACAGAAAATATAGGAAATGGATATTACTAGCCACTAATGGTCCACCTCCTCCTTCTTTACCTCCAGGAGAGGAAAAAAGATGATGGGAACTAGGGAGGGAACAGAGAAGTGGCTGGAAGGAGGGAAGCATCCTGTCCACCCCCAGGCCAAGTTTCAGAGGTGAAAGAAAATAGATCCCCTTAAGCTGTAGGGATCCAAGAACAGAGAGCTTATGCCTCATTCCTATGTAAGTTCTAGGGAGATGCTGAGCTTCGTGGGGAAAGCCTCCATGACATCATAAACAGATATAACACTATATGGTGTCTAGGCCTGAGAGGGTCAGGAAGAAACACCTTGAACTTCCCATGGCTCCAGAGTGGTATGAAAGAACATCTGCAATCTCCCCATCTCATCCCTAGTGAGATGCCAAAGTCAGCTTGCAGGGAAACGACTGGGCCTGCAAAGATGCAGCTCACAGCACCAATGGGGATTATTAGGTCAAGAAACCACCACACTTCAGTGGATTTCCAGCTTGGAAGGGGATGTGGCTGAGGACTCAATGAGAAAAGTTACACTTTTTTTTTTTTTTTTTCTCTCACCGCCGCAGCCTCTCCCGTTGCGGAGCACAGCCTCCGGACGCGCAGGCTCAGCGGCCATGGCTCACGGGCCCAGCCGCTCCGCGGCACGTGGGATCTTCCCGGACCGGGGCATGAACCCGCGTTCCCTGCATCGGCAGGCGGACTCTCAACCACTGCGCCACCAGGGAAGCCCGAGAAAAGTTACACTTTGAGAGGGGGGACCAACGCACAACTAAGATCAAGAGCAAGAAGTTGTTGTCCCTCCTTTACTGGGTTTGTGTTAGCCCTGGGAGCTTTGCATCAACCCTACGGAGAAGACAAAGGAAATTATGAGTTTTAAACCTGAAATGATGGGAGAAATCACTGGCTTAACGGAGGTTTTATTTTATTACACCAGCTTGAGATAGAAATGAAATACAGGAGTAGAAAAATTTTAAGTTCTATTTTTGCTCCCCTGAGTCTGAGCCCATGAAATCTATACTCATTAGGGTGATTGTTAAGCCACTGGCAAAATTTCAGACAATTCACATAAAGTCATTTCTGTGTAAAACAAACTACACGTTGGTGTGACTTAAGCTTATTCAGCCTTGACTACATTTGAGGGCTTGTTAGAGTTGGGCGTTGAAGGGAAAGCAGTGAAAGGCAAACAGCACTTTTTCTGGGGAGCCAAATATCTAATATTCCCTTAACCCACTGTTTTCAAAAGATGGAAGGAACACCACCTGTCTCAGAATAACCTGGAGCTTTATTAAAAATTTAGATTCCCAGACCCTGCCTCAAACCCACTGATTCAAAAATACTGGGATGTGGATATATGAATTTGAATAGGACTCTAGGTGATTCTTATGAATGCAAGCAACTGAGAACCACCGCCTTAATGAATGCTGATATCAGAGTATGCTAGGCAAGTTAGCCTAACTCCCAAAGAGAAGCAGAAGGTACATTTTCAGATTGGGTCATTCCACCCACGACAGCCTGTACACCCCCTCTCCCAATCACCCACAACAGCCCGTACACCCCCTCCCCCAATCACCCACGACAGCCCGTACACCCCCTCCCCCAATCTCCTGTCTAGATGTCTGCAAAATCAGCTTTCAGTTAGACATACTGACCTAAGATGTACAAGGTCTTTCCCAAACATCACCTCCTTTTAAAAGTAAAATGGAGATAGGATGAAGAAGCCAGCAGTAAAGAAATCCTAGAGGGAAAATGAAAGGTATGCTTTGGATGAAGGGGGACTGGGTAGAATCAACAGGTTGGTAGAGCAAAACACTTGAACTCTTCCAGCTTAACAAGAAGACAGAGATCCTATAGAAGGAAATAATGCAATACTTTGGGAGGATGTTAAATCTTTGGAGCCTGGACAGCTGAAAGACCCTAGGTTTCAAAGTTCAACCTCTTTTATAGTTTATAGCAGAAGTTCCAGCATTCTGGAAGGGTTGACCCATCCCACTGGTAAGGGCGCATAATGGCAGGAATTGTCAAAGAATTGGGGGTGTGTTGCTCATGGAGGCTAGAAACATGGCATATGTAACCCCTCCCCCTCACTCTTTGAGAACCACTGGTATGAAGCTGATTATGTGGAGTAGAAACACACTCCTTAGGGGCTTGAAATGGGTGAATGAGAAATATACCCACAAATGAATACATTATCCTCTGTTTTTAGAATTCACATCTCCTAATGTTTTACCAATTACTTTCTCTCCAGCTAAGTCATGGGAGACTGGCTCCTTGGTTTCCTCATGTCCACTTTCACCCCCATGCTCCTACCCCCAGCTCACCATTTAGAGAAGGATGGGTGGGATAACAAGGTGGGAAAGGAAGAGCTCTCACTAGTAGAGGGTACAGACAGGCAGGACAGACCCGAAAGGCTGTCATTCTGTTTAGTGCGTTAGGCATCCTCTAATTTCACAATGTTGTCTCTTGGCTCTGGCAATTCTGAGGAGCTCAAATCCTGTGTGTTATATGAACTTGGGGGGTATGGGACTGGTTTTGCTGGAGGCTGATCATTTGGGGATACATATATTTCCGTTTCATTCTTTAGAAGTCCCTCAAAGGGTGAAAAGAAAGAGGGAGGAAGGGTGGGAAGAAGGAATGAAGAAAGAAAAGGATCACACAACCTGGAGAAATTACTTAGAGAAACTTTCCAGGCTAGGAAAATTTGGGGGACTTCAAAGGGAATTCAGGTGACCTTGCTTCTCCAGGACATAAGAGGAAAACTTGAGGTGCAAAGTGCAGCTGGGCCCTGGAGGGCAGACACAGGATGAACTGACCAGGAGTCCTCCTGAGGGATAAGGCCAAGAGACACTTGAGTGTTTTAAGTCTGCAGCACACTGACTGTACAACTATACTGTGATTCATCTCAGTTATTTAAACTTCAGATCCCTGACACCTTTGGAAACTCAGATGTGGAAAGGAGGTGAGGTATCAGAGACAGTACAGAAAGGCCAAGGTACACTGACCTCTTTTTCCCTTTTTAAACTCTGAAATGGAGGCAGACATGAGTGAGGGGTGAAGCCAAGACCTTTCCAGGGACAGGAGGAGCTGGCTTCTTTGTGTCACACCGTTTACCAGAGGCTTGAGAGGGACTGTGCTGCCTCTCCCTCCCATGCTGCCCCTCACTGGCACTTTCTCTTTGTACCTGATTTCCCCTCTCTCTCCTTCAGTCCCAAGGTTAACTCTAGCCCCTCTTCTTCCCTTCTTAGTCCCATCATCCTTTCTAATCAGCCTCTGAGCCTAGAACGTCTCGAGTCTCTTCTCGTTGATCAAGTTCTGGACCAACCATTTTGGAAAACCAGGATATCAGGTATTCAAATGAGTGAAATAAACCCATGAAACTCACCTGGGCATGCCAACCGTTCCCAGAACCAAAGACAGTGGTAACGTGTCCGGCCACTCTGCAAGCAGCTTTTCCAGGTTTTTCCCATCAGAAATGGAGCGCGCCGTCCAGCCGGAAGGAGCCACTACAGTAGTTCCTATTGGGAAGGCTGAGTTTTTACTTTCCACAACCCTGAAAGAGCACATTCAGACACGGGAAACCCCTTTCCTTTCAAGTGAGTCCGATGCTGCATGCTTAGTGGCCACAAAGGGGTACTGAGTTTCATGTTCCGTGATTTAATATCCTACCACATCTCTCCGTCTGAATTCTTAGCCATTGGTGTCTGCTCTTCAAGAAAAAATATGGGCCCTCAGAGAGGAATTCTCAGCTGGTCCAGCATCTGTCCCTGTCATCACTCACTCTTCTCTCTAAGCAAGAGGTGTTCATCCTCTGGCTCGAGGAAACCTGGACACCAGCCTCTTCTCTTCTTCAGAGGCTACCCTCCATTTCTTAGCCCTTCCTCTCTTTTGAATCCTCAACATTCTCCTCTCTTACTGTCCCTTTCTTACAATCTCATCCTATCTCTACCTCGTCTCTCTCTCTCTTCTTCTTTTAACAGCCAAGTTTCTTCACTTCCTATTCACTTGATAACCCAATGCAACCTGCCTTCCACCCCCACTGTTGGAAGCAGCCTAAACGTCCATCAAGAGAGGAATGGATAAAGAAGATGTGGTACATATATACAATGGAATATTACTCAACCATAAAAAGGAACAAAACTGGGTCATTTGTAGAGATGTGGATGGACCTAGAGAGTGTCATACAGAGTGAAGTAAGTCAGAAAGAGAAAAACAAATATCGTATATTAACACATATATGTGGAATCTGGAAAAATGGTATAGATGACCTTATTTGAAAAGCAGAAATAGAGACACAGATGTAGAGAACAAACGTATGGACACCAAGGGGGAAAGGGGTGGGGTGGGAGGAATTAGGATATGGGGATTGACACATACATACTATTGATACTATGTATAAAAGAGACAACTGACGGGAACATACTGTATAGCACAGGGAACTGTACTTAATGCACTGTGGTGTCCTAAATGGGAGGGAAACCCAAAAGGGAGGGGATATATGTATATGTACGGCTGATTCATTTTGCTGTGCAGTAGAAGCTAACACAACATTGTAAAGCAACGATACTCCAATAAAAATTAATAAAAAAACAAAACAAAAAAACATAAGCCAGGTACCACTGGGTACTTGTTACCCAAAACACGACACACAAAAAGGGATGCTAGTCAACATTTGAAAACGTATTTTTCACTTTAGATTTTTTTTTTTTTTTTTTGTGGTACGCGGGCCTCTCACTGTTGTGGCCTCTCCCGTTGCAGAGCACAGGCTCCGGACGTGCAGGCTCAGTGGCCATGGCTTACGGGCCCAGCCACTCCGTGGCATGTGGGATCTTCCCGGACCAGGGCACGAACCCGTGTCCCCTGCCTCGGCAGGCGGGCTCTCAACCACTGCGCCACCAGGGAAGCCCTCACTTTAGATTTTAATCGCTACCAATCAACTATGAAAAAAATTATTTAAAAGAATGATGGCTGCATTGTTTACCTAGGCAAAAAGTTACTGAGTCAGTGGCCAGTGAAAGCGTTTATTCTCTCCTCTCCCTGAACTGTTTACTAAGTACACACGTTTGAGTCGACTGCAGGTTACCTAAATTAAAAGAATATAGGTAAAGGAAAGGCAAGAAAACCTAATTTTAGTCTTAGCGTCTTTCTCTACCCAAATTATTTGCCAGTAGTGAAATGGAGAATTTCGAGCTTGGCTTCTTTCTTCTTTTAAGTTTTTGGGAAGGAATTCTGGTAACAATGAGAGGTAAATTGTGCACATGAAGATAGGGGATGGTTGTAAAGTAAAGGGGCCAGTTTAATCCCTCACTGCTCTGCTCAGACTTTCGCCTGAAAAAGATGAGCATCCGTGAATCCCATCACTGACATCCTTCTGGGAGAAACAGGGGGAAGCCATAGCGTTTTGAATCAGCTGGATATTTTAAAAGATTGACCACATCAAAGTAGAGTCCAATGCACAACATAAGAAGTTTCTGGAGGAAAATAATACCTCATATAAGGATCCACGGTGAAGAACAAAGCTTCCAGCAGGACCTCTACAAAATAAAGCATTCCACAGGCAATTAGAAACCCTGGCTTGATGCCTTGTCTCTGGCCTTCTAAATAAACACTGACAATCTCTCTGCTTCAGGGTTGCCCTCTCATCTGTGCTTTCTATTGAAGAGCCAAGAAGAGCTCTCACCTTTGGCTCAGTTCAGTTAATAAAAGTAAAAATTATTTTTTAAATTTTTAAATAAAATTTAAAATTATGTTTATTTACTCAGCACTCGCTCCATGCTTTACATAGATTATTTCATATGATGTTCTGAACAATTATTGTTTCCATTTTATTTAAGCTTAGGTTAAGTATCTCGACCAGGGCCACATTTGTAACCACTGTGTTACAGGGCTCACATAGGGCTTTATTACCAGCCTCAGTTAGTATTAAAAAAATACACGCATTTTGCTGGAGTGACCGTCATGCACCCATCCTCTGGAATTTTGCTTCTGAGTTTTGGTTATCCCAACCTAGATGGGATCGATAACTTTGCCATGCTACTTGATTGCATGCCCTTTTCTCAAAGCTTACCTACCTGAAAATAGCCCTTAGAGACACCCTTTAGCACGTGCTCTGCAAAGCTTATCTCCAAACACGTGATGGGATGTGTCGCCATTTCTCTCCCTTCAATTTCTGCAGGGATATTGTCTGCTCACAGGGATAGTCTGAGGTCTTCACACTGCTGCTAGGCAGTTCTTACCCTACTGTCATCGTGGGGCTCACTGGGACAGAGAGGAAATACTCCCCATGGGCTGGCAAAAGTCAGGAAGAACAATGCACCCAAGCATGCGTCTCAATTACCAAGGGAAGTAGAGGGATCTTCTAACATGACATCGAGGCTTCACACACACAGCCTTGAGAAGGTCTCTGCGGCTGTTTGCAAAAGGGCCACAGATACCACCCATCCCTGTGTGCGGGCTTCTTTGCCGTCCTCCCATCAAGAAGTCTACTGCCACACCTTGAATCTGGGCTTGCTTTGATGAACATCATATTAGCAAAGATGATATAAGTAGAGGCTTGAAAAGTGCTTGCATATTGGATCTTGCCAATTCC